TTAATAAGTAATAAGCTAGTTACCAGCGTTGCCGGATTCCAAAACGCGCGCGACATCAGACATAAAAAAATTACTGCAGACACTGTTTAAAAAGAAAAAGGTCAATGCTATTATCACCGATATTTTGCTTTCCTCCTTCATTGTCAGTACGTTCCGGATCCCCTTCTTCCTCCAAAGTTCTCGAATTCTTTTCAAACTTGCTTTGGTTGTTCATGGTGAGAAATCGTCTCGCCTGCAAGAAAAACGAGAAAGATGTTAATTATATTAAAAAATGGACTAATTAGGTTATTTTCCCCAGATTTTGTCGCAGTTCACCCCTTTTGCCACCAGAAGTTATGAAATTTCACTATCTGACATTCGAAATTTATAATTGTTCCTGGCCAAATGTCGTATATTTTCCGGTTGATAAGGGTTAGCAAAATCACAGTTTATAGCTTACAAGATTATAACAGTTTTCCAGTAAAATTTGTATGTTAGCTCTCTTCTCTGTTCTCTGTTATTTTTTAGCACGTTGCCTTGCTGTTTTTATAGGTGAGACACATTTTCTAGAAACTTCTAATAATACCGGTTATGGAAGTGGATATATTGTTGATTCTTGTGTTCACGAATATTCTACAATCTTGGAGAATTGGCGGGAGTTTCGCCATAGCAACTAACATGGTAAGCTAGACACGCCCTCACATATAAACTTATTCGAAACAAACGTTGATATTATATAACAAATTTGTTATATGCAATACATATCTGATACTACAAGTCACGCTTATTTCAAAATACAAATTCAATCCAAACAACGTTCATATTAAAAATAAATACATAATGATAAATTCGTTACACAATTCCATTAAATATTTTTTTAAAATAATATTAAATGACAACAAGGGACCTTTTGGTTCATCTAGACTGTCATGCCACTAAATTAAAATAAGGTAAACAAACAAACAAAAAACAAACTGAAAACCAGTTGCAAATTGTAAAACTACTATTTAACATTAACGCCTGAATGTATCCAGAAGCCCCCCAGTGGCACAGCGGAATGTCTGCGGACTTACAACACTAGAATCCGGGTTTCGATAGCCGTGGTGGGCAGAGCACAGATATCCCGTTGTGTAACTTTGTGCTTAGTTACAAACAAACATGTATCCAGAATGAAAACGCGTCACATCAGAACAGATAGCCTCAATACACTGTAAAACGAAACCTTAGGAAAATGAGCATAAATTTTAGTCCTCCCATAGCCTCTTGGTAAGACTGCGAATGTGTCTTTGTTGTCCAATATAGATTTGATAGCCATTGTTTGCTTATATATGAGGTTGAACCTGTTTTTTCTTTCTATAAACTAATTTGATTCGTCAGCATCTATTTTGCAAACAATAATATTGAAATTTGGTGGTAAAATTAGAATAAATATGACTAGAATGTGTTATAAAAAATAGAAAACAATCATGTAAATCAAAACATATTTTGAATGTTTGTTTGTTTTTTCAAAACGTATTTACAACAGACGTCATAATCAACAACCCACGATGAATCGCTGATCAGTTTGTATGTATTGATATTCATATGTTGATTTTTTAAAAGATTTCGATTTAAACGTTAGCCTAGTCTTTTAGTGTTCGTAGATTTTTATTACTACTGTAGGTTATAACTTAATTTTCAGTTTGAATTTTATCTATATAAATTTTCAGTATTTTGAAATGTCACATACTTGCAATCAAAAAGTGTGTAAAACATTATTTTGCAATGTAATATGCTTTTTGTAATTGACAGGTTAAGGAATTTATTAAAGGATTATGAAGAAGATGAGTAGCTTTACTTTCTATTCAGTTAGTCAGTCGACTGTCAGCATTTACGGAAAACATCACTGGGATTACCTCCCATGGTATATCAGCCATCCATGACTCGTTTGCTCCTAGGGAGGCCACATGGTGGTTGTGCCATCTTGTGGCGATCTTCTCTGTGACCTGTCATTACACCAATAGAGTGCTTGAACAATCGTGTTAGTGGAGTAACAGTGTTTCTACTCTCGAGTGAGCTGTTATTTGTCGCACTGAATGTTCATATGCCTACCGATTCTGCTGGTAACCTGGATGAATATATTTCTGTACTACGAGATATCTCCTGTATATGCCATACAAATGGAAATGACAGGATTGTCCTAGGTGGTGACTTTAACACAGACTTCAGCTGACGTAGCTCATCTCACACGTTAGCATTGGAAAGGTTCCTACAGGACGAGGAGTTATGTCTGACCAGATCATACACTGGTGAATATGCATCTGATAACACGTTTGAGAATGTGTTTGGTGATAGGTCAAATATTGATCATTTCTTTGTCACTAATAATATGTTGGACTGTCAGCCAAAAGGTACAATATGTCATGACGTGGATAATTTTTCGGACCATAGTGTCATTTCCCTTTCTATGGTTGACTCATCCTCAATAGAACGACTTGTACCTGCACACATCACTACACCGCATCTGAGATTACAATGGGACGAGACTAAGCCTGAGTCAATTGAAGTCTATCAGAACGGACTGAGGAAATGTTTAGATAATGTCCGGATACCGAGCGAGGTAATTTATTGTAATCAGAATAACTGTAAACGTCATGACGCATCAATAGAAGACTACCATGATAAGCTGGTTAAAGCCTGTATAGACTCTAGTTTGAAATCTATATCACGTTCTCGCAGTAACAAGCCTTGTGTGGCTGGCTAGAACGACGAGGTGAAACCCGTGCGCGAAAATGCGCTCTTCTGGCATTTCATCTGGAGTGAAATGGAAAGACCACGAGTTGTGCTAATTGCCCAGATACAGAGGAATACTCGTGCAGAGTATCATCGTGTGGTAAAACGTGTCAAATCCCTAGCAGATCAACTATCATCTCAGAAGATGGCTGATGCACTCGTGAACTGTCAGAACCTTGACTAATGGGAGGAGGTGAAGAAGTACAACAAAACGTATAAACCTGTTCCTTCTACCATTGTTGGGACTATCAGCGAAAGAGAAATCGCCAATGTATTTGTTCGTAAGTTTGAGCATCTGTATAACTGTGTCTCATATGAAGAAGAGGATATGGCCACCTTGGTACGGGAACTGGATGAGCAAATTTGTCATTACTGCTGTAGTGACCAATGTTATCACGGCCACTTCATTACGGATGACCTAATTGATAATGTCGTGTCCCACCTTAACTCCAGTAAGAGAGACGGTGATGGATTATCTTCTACCGACCATATTACTGGACTGGTATTACGTATACATCATAATTACGTCCCTGGTGATATGTTGGCATCGACCATCATACCTATTCCACAAAGTACGAGAAGATCGCTGAGCGAATCAGGTAATTATAGAGCCATTGCCTTGAACAGCCCGATAAGTAAACTTTTTGAGCTTGTAATATTAGAAATGAATGCTGAGTCACTGGTTACAACCAATCTGCACTTTGGTTTTAAGCAGAAATCTTCGACTACACAGTGTACTTTTGCTGTACAAGAAGTAATTCACTATTGCTTAAATAATGACACATCCGTGTTTTGCATGCTTTTGGATGCGAGTCAGGCTTTTGATCATTTCCAGTATATTAAACTGTTTAAACGATTACTTGAGAAAGGTTTATGTCCTTTAACATGTAGAGTACTGTTACTTATGCATACAGGACAGGCAGTGTGGCTTTGCTGGGGAGAGATTCTTTCAGGTTCGATATCTGTGTCCAACGGTGTCAAGCTAGGCCTAATTCTATCGCCTCTGCTTTTTTCGATCTATGCTGATATGCTACTTACTGAGCTACGTAACTGTGGTCAGGGTTGCTACATTGGCAGAACAGTTGCAGGAATGATCGCTTACACTGATGACATTATCCTTTTAGCTCCGTCGAGAACTGGGTTATTGAATATGTTGGAAATTGCCGAACAAATAGGCAAGGACCTTAACATTAAGTTCAATCCAGCGAAATGCCAGTTTCTGAAATTCAGGTGTCCTACTTCAGTTAGTAATGATAATGTAAAACAACCTATATTGTTCTGTGGCATTAAGCGAATCAGCTGTACACCTTGGTCATTACATCGGCTTTAATTACAGAGTAAATTACATTCAGAAAAACGTGAATGATTTGTACCAGTGATGTAATTCGTTACTATCTAAATTTTCACATTG